AGACACTCACACACACCATTTACGTGCGCGTGCGTGCACGCACACGCTCAGAATCCCAGTCACACATGCACAGAAGGAGGAGAGAGGCTGCTTTGTCTCCACTTGGGATTTTCTGTGTTAATAAGATCTGAACTAAAACGCTGTATTCAGTTTTCACCAGAAAGCTGAGATTTCTGTTGTCTGAATCTGTCATGTTAGCCATAAGAAGGCCTTGATAACTGCCTTTGTATTGTATAGTTAAGAGCATTTAAATGCATAATGAGGATGACTTTGGGCATGGATTTTGCAGTGTAAACAATAAAATGAGTCTTGATTATAAACAATAGTTATGTCTAAAAAGTTAAAATAACATTTACTAAATCATTACTAAGTTACCTTTCAACACACTTCCATGCAGTGTTTTAGGTAATGGATTAGCATGTCGTGCCTCATGTAGTTTCACTTCTTTTTGGTTCTTTTTTCACTAAGTGCAATATGTGTTCAGTCTTCAAAGAAGCATGAAACCACAGAGGCAGAAAACAAAGGAGGTGGAAAGTCTGCAAAGTATTAAATATCATTACAATATAATAAGCTATTGGCAGGCTGGAGTCTTTTTTCATAGTCTATCTGCTTGGGTTTTGTTTTCAGGTTCTTCCCACATTCCAAAGACGCTCATAGTTAAATGGCTGTTCTATACTGACCATAGGTGGGAGGGTAGCTTGTGACTCCCCTAGTGTGACCTGGGATCGGCTCCAGCCACTAAGACCTTCTTATATGAAATACCAGAATTTGTCCTGCTTTTTTCATGGTCCAATGAAAAGAATGCCAAAGCACAGCAACAGGGAAAAACCTACAGGTGAGAAGCTGTTTTACAGTGTTTCAATATTTTACTTTTACAGTCATTTTTGCATTTATACACAATAACAATAATTCCTTCACTGACAGTGACTGGAGCAAAGAACCACAATAAACTGACACAAAGACTTTAAAAATATCATTTTACAGACTACTTTTTTAATGTAGATAATATCAAACATTATGTTACAATGTTTTGTGGTATACGTCATCACACATCATACACCAAAACTCTTGTGAATTCCACACCATGTGTTGTCGGTAACATGTCTCTTTACCCCCTAAAGCAAAATGGAAAAAAATTAAATTAAATTTCTGTACCTGTTTCATAAATCACCCTAATTCACATCTGTTCGAAAGTCACATATAGACGTCCTAACTGATAACAGGTTAGACAAGTCCTATTATGCCAAGTTTTCCCAATAAATCGTAATCTTTTATAAGTACTGCTTGTGTCTGTGTGCCAGCACACCTCAGGCAGAGTCCCTTTTCACTGTCAGCAGCATAAGAAAACACCTTTTTTTCCTCAGTGTCACGTACACTCTATAGTCCCCTGCTACAGTGGTGTGATGCAGGTCTCCATGGAAACCCTATATAAACAGCAATGTGTGGAGAATGACCACTGCCTACATGTGCACGCCCACATGTGCACATACACTCACATAACCCGCACACATATACAGCCATATGAATCATGGTGATCTCCTGTTCTCATAGGGTTAAAGAGGGGGGAATTCCACTTCTTATAGTGCTGGTCTACAATCATCCATAATTTAGAGCTCATGAATGATGAAGCACATATATCATACATACACGTATATCATACTAAATGCCTTAATGTATGCTACATGTGTGAGCGACCCATGTCTGCAAAGCTTCTTCATAATTAAAAACTCCTACTAAAGTCTCAAAAGGGAAACAAAACAAAGACTCTTTTGAACAAAGGTTATATGGAAGGGAGATTCCCTTTTCTATATGTTCTGGGTCTCATTGACATTCATGTGGTTCAAGTTAGTTACAATAATACTATACTGTGTACATCACATCATAGAAAAGATCTAGAGTTCTACTGGAAACAGCTTTGCACCAGAGAACAGGCAGCTTTCTTTGAGTTTTTTGAACTGTAAATGAAGGTGAATGCTATTTTATGGCCTGTAGAATTCATTGTAACTGTCCTTTGTTACGTCTGGCTATTTCATTTACAACAGGATGCGAAACAGACTAAACGAACAACATTTAAACTGAACCACAGGATGGTTTTATTGTTGTTAATCCTCCTTGACCTCATCGAACTCAACTGGAAAGCTGAGCAAGGAGGACAACATCATAGGAAGCTATGATTTTGCTCATTTTGGCTGCTAAAACTAATGGTAAAAAGCCAAGTTGTAAAATACTGGACAAAAGCTAAATGTATAAGGACTCTTTGTTTGTTACATAAAAATGCAGATCACCCAGCAGATAATCAGGAAGTGTTGCATAAATGTGCACACAGTGAAGTCCCCTGACCGCTGCATAGATGATGAAAGCGGGCAGCATTTTAATTGTGCTCTTTTGCACTGCTAACCTGAAACCACTGAAATTGTGATTTAATACGACCGCTACCAATTAAAACCTCTGTTGTCTCCTAACAGTGCTCAGAACTCAGTTCTATGAAAAGAAAAACATTTTCTTACTCTGAGCCGTTTCCTTTGTGAATAATATATTAAGAGGATGGTGGGGGTTGGAATGACATTCCAACAGGCACACAAGCACGGGCGCATGGATGCCCTGCAACACACTGGCTGTCTTTTTCATATAGTACTCAGTGGAATGTGGAGCACGCTGTCACATTAGCAGAAATGAATATACGGAGTAGGGATTTGCATGTGGTGAACTTGTGCATTTCTCTCTGCATCATTTTCTACTCCATAGTCTATTGTTTTTCTCTACAAGTTCTTCCACATGCTCTGACAATAGCCTCAATTCATCATATCTGATGGGCTAAATCACAGGCAAACCCCGTTGCTGCGATGCATCTCTGCAGGGACGACCTCACCCTTCTCACACCCACCTGAATGCTCTGCTTCTCACACTGTTCACTGAGGTCGACTGTGGAAACAAAACCTTTGTTACACTGCTGCTGCTGCAGCTGGCTCAGACAGTCGCTGGCTCACACCATTCAAGTTCCTACCTGCCACTTGTCAACTTTTACAAGTTTGATATCTGAACATATGAATTCTAACTGCAAAAGCAGTTCCGCACATTTTTGCTGCCTTGGGTTTTTCTTTTTTAGCTTTTAGTGCAACTTGATCAGTTAAAGATGTGGCGATTGACTCCTGCGTGACATAACCCCTGTTTTGCCTTTTGCAGTATGTTTTCTTCCTCATTCCCCGTGTGTCCCATGAAGCTCTTTCACATCAACTCTGTAGCATTTGTCTGAATATAAGCAGAAGATGTGTATAAATCTTTATAAACATTAGAATTTATCTGGCTGCTTCTATCTCCTATCACGTCATCTGTAAACATTAGTGATCCAATGCCACTGGAAGACACACACCCATGCATCACTGCATTTACTGGGCTTTGAAAGATATACTTCAGGTCCTGAACCTTTCTCTATAATTTTGATCTTAGTGTCATCTGTCCAAAGATTGCAGTCCCAGAGCTAATTTGACCTTTCAGTTCTTGAAGCTGACTTCTAGTTTGCTCCTCACAAATACAAAAGATTCAGCTCTTGTGAACTCCTCTACATTATCAATGTCAGCCTCCTGGAGAGTGTTCATCACTTTGCAGGATGTTTTGAAGTGGACCTTCTTTACTAATATCTTTATCATTTCTGACATGCTACAAACTTTATGAATGCTCATTAGCCCATTATAACATATCTGACAGATCAAATAAATAGCTGCAGGCAAGCAGGGGACATGGGAGTGTTTATTCTCATGGTGTTTACACAAACAAAAAGCCCAGTCTGTCAAGATGCATTCTTGTGTGTTTGTACGAGTTTCTCTGTTGAGAAAGATAGCAATGACAGATGAGATTTTCTGCTCGTCTGCAAATCTGGACAAGCCCTAAAAACGTCCTTCCTAAGATGCTTTGCCTCCACACCAAAAACACTGCTAACATCAACATAATCCTCATATGCTGACAGAGTCACAAAGAATGGAAAAGGAGGTAAACTGAGGACGGGAGGGCAGGAGTGACCAAAAGAATTGTTGTTTTTCTTGTAGGCATGCAGGTTTGCCCCCTTTTCTTTCCTTTCCAGTCAGCTGAGTAAAAATGTCCATTAAGCTGAACGTTATAATCACTATCACATGTTTACCTGCCTGGCTGCGGGCAACAAGTCGATGAAAACCATTTGAGAGTTCACAGCTCTAAAAGCAAACAGCAACACCAGCTTAAATCACTGCAGGTTTGACCATATGTTCTTAGTTGAAATGCTACACTTGGTCAAACCTTTCCTGATTAATGCCATCACTTCTGATGTTTAGCTAAAGCCCAGATGGAGGCAAGTGTATATGCTTTTTGTTACAGTGGGAAAACATGTTTCTGTGCAGGGGGTGCGAGTGCACCCCACCCAGAGAAAACACATGGCATGGAAACACATTTTGTATTTCTGGCTATTCAACACACACACAAAAACACTGCATATCCCTGGAGATCTGTGCAAAAGAATTCTGTGCCATTGGCGTCCAATACCAGACAATTACTAGCAGGATCACCCAATCTGTAAAGATCTCATCTCCACATCCAGATATTTGACTTGACTCAGGATGAGTGAGATTCACTTTCTAGAACAACAATCAAACTGTGGGTCTTGGGTCTGCACTTGGTTTCCTGGTTGTCCAAGCAGCTGGGGGGAGACCAAAGCAGCTTTATTTCTTTTCTTTTCCTTTTAAGTGGACTACAATTGTATCTTTGTAGATGCTCCACATGAGTTCACATTTACTCAATTTGCTTCATTTACATTTACTTTGTCTAAAATGACATGTTTGTGAGTGTTTGTTGAAGGTAAATGAGGCAGTAAACATTTGGGTTCAGTGAAGTAGAAAACAAGACTTTCCGCAGATAAAAGTCTGAGAGGAAGGGTGTGTGTGTCACTCTTTGACAGTCTCCCAGAAATGATTAGTTCCCATAAACAAACACATGCTTGTCTTAATTAGCTGACGAATTAGAAAGCAGCTTACACTTACACTTGGGGCCGCTTGTGTCCATTGCGCTGTGATGCTGTCCCTGTGAAAGTCTACTGCAGGTCCATGAGTGAGTGAGTGAGCATGTGAAGACGTGTGGAGAGCTGCTTGCTGCCGCCGCTGATAGATCCACAGTGGATACAACACAGAGCAGCAGCAGGCACCCGCTGATCTGCTGGGTCCTAAAGCCACCAAGCTCCCGTCGCAGCAGAACAGCTCGGAGCCACAAATGACTCGTGTTTGACAAGGTTACAAGTGTGCTTGAAGGGTAAAGTTAGCACTTCTTCGTCTGCAGTCTGCTAAACAAAGAGAAGGAACTCGCCTGGCCCTGTCCAAAGCCAAGCCCACCTAGCTGCTCCCTTAAAGCGCCTATTATGTCTTATTTGCTTATCTTAGACAAGAACCTGTTGCAGAGATGATGATGTGACCCTGTCTGTACTTGCCTGGGAGCAGAGTTTAAGCTGGCTATTCTACTTGCGCAAGTAGAGGTTTTACTGTCAAAAGCAGTAGATTTTTTTTAAGAAAGGACAGCCAGATAAGTACAAGGATTTCCGCGCGGCTTCCAGGCAGCTATATAATGGGAATAAAACCTTTTTAAATGGGAGAGAAGTCTAACTCCAAGTTTCTTGTTTCATAGAGGGGACTTGCCTGATAGTTAGCAAATAAAAATAGCAGTAAAGTAAAGGTAGAGTTTTTCATAAAGGGTTTTGACAAAACAGACAACTGCGAGAGCAAGGCACAATCGCACAGGTAGGCATACCATGAGTCACTCTTTGACGTTGCCATGATTTCACAATTCAGATAAGCAAAGTGCAGACAATTTCTAACACAGGCCTCCAGATAGCAGTCTCACAGGACCACTGATCCTAACCTCTAGAAAACTGTTTTATTTTATTTTTTTCTGAACACACTATGACAGTGATATCTGTTGTATTGATCTTTTTGGAAAAAATGTGCCATTAAGGAAAACATTTAATCTCCTAAATCCATAGCTGACCAATCAGCATGCATTAGCAGAATGCTAGGATTTGCTATCAGAAAAAAGGAATCATTTCAGACACATGACGAGTACTAGATTTGTGAAACTAATAAATAACACTACTGTGCAATCTTGATCCGTTGGGATTGTTAGGAAAGAGGTGCAGTGATTTATTGAAACATGCAAGCATATGTAGAACTACAGTATATAAGGCAAGAGCAGAGTTTGTGTAATTCCACCAAGCTTGAAAGTCAATATTTGGTATGACCTCCTTGATTCTTCAACACAGCCATAGCCAAGCTTTCTTGTGATTTATTTAGGTAGTCTTCAGGAACTGTTCTCCAGGCTACTTGAAGGACTTTCGAAGCTCTTCTTTGGATGTTGGTTGCATTTGTTTTGTTCTCTGTCAAGATGATCCCACACTGCTTCAATAATGTTGAGGTCTGGTGACTCATAGTGTTCCATTGTGTGTTTTTCTTTAAAGATGTGCTTTTACTGCTTTGGCAGTGTTTCGGATCTTCATGCTGAAGAATACAAATCTGACAGTACTTTTTTTTCTTTCTTTCATGATTCAATCAGTTTTAACAAAATCCCCAACACCACTGGCTGAAAGGGAGCCCGAAACCATGACAGAGCCTCTACCGTATTATATAGACAGCTGTAGAGGCTGTATTATTCTGGTGTCTTTACCTTACAATGTAAAGCATCTTGAAGTGACTGCTGTTGTGGCATGACTGAAAATGAGTGAAAAAAAGGAAACAAAAAACAGTTAAAACACCCTTCAAAAGGCTGGATAACTATTGCTCAAGACCAAATTACCAGAGAGTCTTTTGAAATAAAACATGAAGAAATGAGGGATGGCTCGACACTGTTGGTACTCTATGCAGTGAGTACTACTGAGCACCCCAGCTGGCATTAACAGGAAGTGAACAGGCTCTGGTGGTATCAGTCTTCATACTTACACAAGCACCTGGAAAGCAAATAAGGGCAGTTGCCTAAAACAAATATTCCACAGTCTATTAAAAGTGTAGCTAGTAAAGTAATAAAAAAGAGGAGGCTGGTTTTGATTTGAAGTTTAATTTTAGTGACAAAAATCAAAAATAACAGTATTCAAAGTCTTCAACAACCCTGGATCTTTGTCGGCACGTTAAATCCTTTGCAGAGTGTTTTATCTGTGAGTGATATAATCTCTGGAGCTACAAAATTATTAGATTACCATTCTAAAAGTATATAAATAAAAAGCAAATGCAAATGGATGACTACAACTCTCATCCTAAAACATTTAGTCATTGTTCTATTGCAACGGGTAGAAAAGCAGAAGGACAGAACCGCCGTGATTGCACATTCTTTTAGGTTATCGCACAGCTGCACAGTGAGATGAATCTATTGGTGATCTTTGACAAGTTTAACCAGAGTGATCTGATAAATTGTACATTTGCGTTCTCAGTTTGGTTTTCATATCTAAATCAATTGTTGTAAACTACAGGTCTCTTAGTTTCTGTGAGAGAGCAAGAAAACAGGGGCACAGGTAAACAAAATGCATCCCTAAGCCAAAAAAAAAAAGAGAAAAAAAAGCAAAGCGATGCTCGCAGGCTCACACTCTTTTTCATCTAGTCATTCTCACTGATAAAGTGTCATAAATGATATGCTATACCTACATTCTACTCATTCAGATTGCTGGTGCTGCACAGTCATACCTAAGAGATCGTAACAAATAAGGCAAAGCCAAAATTCTCCTCATTATGTTTTACTACTGCAGCTCTGGTCACTAACGGTCACGCCATCCTTCATCCTTTAGGCTTAACAAAAGCAAAACACTACTGTATGACAGTCTCTATTGCTTGCACCCCACACAAGTTGCACACAAGTTTATCAGTCCAGCGTGCATAATGTCTCTCAGTATCCCAGGAGTCCATCTGGTGGGACCAGAATTTGGTTTATCACGTGAGGGGATGTAGAACAGGTTTCTCGGGCATGGCAGTGTAACTGTGTAGGAGTCTTCGTTTCTATCTGTCCCCTCCTACAGTTAGTCCGTCTCCGACTCTATGGCAGTATTCAACACACGTCTGAATGTTATTAAAACAGTCGCGCCTGTTTTTTCAGTTCATTTCTCTTCCACAGAGCCAGCCGGTCAAACTCTTCCACGGTCATACCGAACACTTGGACAAACTCCTCTGGGGACAGGTGGCGCTGGAAAAACACATCATAGCAGAAATTAAGTCTCAAATTCTAGTCATGGTTTTGGGATTTCTTTGGCCGTTAACTTACTTCCAGTCTGGCTCTGTCTACATCTTTGGGCAGCCTGTTGCGCCCTCTGGTGGTGACGATGAGCGACTCATAGGGGTAAATCTGCAGGATAAAGGAAAGGACACACGCACACATTTCAGATACCCGGGTACAAAAGGAGTGGAATTTCATTATTTTAAAAAAGCCTTACTTTGTGTTCTGCTGGGAGAAAAGAGAGAGAGAAAATGAAATCAGTGCAATTGAAAAAAAGCATGTTAGATTAATTGCTTGGCTCTAATAAGGTGTTTTTAGGTCATATTAAATTACCTCTGCTTCCCCAGTTGACCTCGCTGCCACTGTCATATTGGTACTGGTAGCAATCTGCACTCTGAGGCTGAGGAACAGAGTAGGACAGTGAGATTAACAAGAGCAGCGAGCTTCGGGGAATTAACTAATAAAACAGCTTGAAAGCTGGTCGAAGGTAGTAATGAAAAGTGTAAGGGGCCAAAAGAGTTATTTGAATTAAGCCAAATAATATGTATGATAGAATATGTCACAGCTATTCATGCTTTGCCAGGTTCAGTGTGATCTCACCCGCTGGATGCCGTTGCGGCCATATCCCGGTAGTGAAGCTGACTTACAAACAAAATCTGAAGCAGAAAAAAGAAAACACATCAGCATGATATCAGTCTAGCCATGAGCTGCTTAAATGTTCAGTTGTTTTCATGCATTCTGGCGCCATAAGATGGCGCTCATGCCTAACCTAAAACAAAAAATATCTCCAGATGTGTGCAAATGATGCTGGTCGAAGAAGTATTAAAACTAGCAGGAAAAGAGCAATAATAAACTGATGCCTTAAAAAAAACAGCTATTTAAATAAATCAGAGCCACATATTGAAACGCTCTGCAGAGGAACTTACCGCTATCGGTGCTGTACTGTGACCGAGGAGCTGTAAAATAAACAGATGATACGATTACCTGTTACAAAAAACAACAATAATAAAACAATAAATGCTGCAGCACATGAGCCTAATCTAAATTCATGAAAAACCTCATCAGGGAAAATAAGTGTAGAGCTTTGACATCAATCTGTCTTTTATAGGCTTGACAAAAAGAGGAATTAAAGAAAAAAGGGGGGCAAGTTCCACATTCATCAAGCCCTGCGAGGAACACAAAACATCAAAGGGGCAATAAGGCCAGGGAACATGCAAGCATCTTTTAAAAAACGAGAAAAATAAGATGCACAAGTGTGCAAAAAACACACTACATGCTTCAACATCTAACTGCAACACCCAAGCTTGCACAGTTACAAGCCTTTGTTGCCTTTCAAACACCACCAGCGAGCCGAGTCCCATTCAGCCCCGCTCACTCCCATTTGAGAAGCGGCTTTAATGAGAGATCTTACCGCTCATAAATAAAACAGGATATGGGACACCAGCTGTGAGAGTGAGAGAATCACATAGATGCAGGGGTAGATGGAAGGGTAGATCCACCCATATGGAACAATTTTGGAGAGAGAAAGCAAAGGGAGCAGGAAAAAACCTGTCTGATAGAGATGAGGTGAGGCTGAATGTCAGAGGATAAAATAACCAGTAGCTTATACACTGTATGAGCAGCGAAGTGCGACTATTACAAAGAGAAACAAGTCGGCATGTGACTTTGTGACATCTGGAATTTCAGCACACCTGGTTGAGCACTCTGTTTCAGTTAGCTTGAAATTTTCTTAATCAGTGTGATCAGATATCCCTCCAACACTGACAGGCCACATCTGCCCCTGCCGCTGGCCTACCACAGCTGTTAAGCACACTCATCATCGTTCCATCTCAATACACCACCCAGCCTCCAGCAGCGGCCGTGACCCTCTGTGACCTGCATCCGCAAACCTCATCGCCCTCGCCCTCACAACGCCGGCGACATACTGAGGCTCATAAAAAAACCCTTGTGGCAACATATAGGGCTGTACAGAAAGACAGTCATAAACCTGCTGAAACAGAAGAAACCAGCAGACAAAAGAGGTGGATGTACTGGGGGTGTGGGGGTGGGTGGGATAGGTGGATCCT